TACTGTACTGTATTGTACTGTATTATACTATATTGTATGAATGCATGTTTTTATAGTATCTAACTGTTAAAGATACTGAAATGAAATATATGGAATTAAATGAAACATACAGTAGATCATTTTAATGCCATACTGTGGAACATTCCAGGCAAGTGGCTGACAATGTGCACCTTTAAACCCATCCCAACCCACACACAAAAAACACACAACAGCTTTTTGTGCTTTTTTAAAGAACAATACCAATATTTTATTAACTCCAAATAAGTTCAGATGCAGCAAACAAAGAGAAATCCATTTCCAAATTCAAAGTGGCAATATTCAAATAATTACATTCAAAAGAGCCAAAAGAGGAAAAGAAGAAAGACATGTCTGAGAAGGATGACTGTGACAAGATGGCGGACATGTAGAAGATGGTACATTCATTTCATTGCACTGCTGAATCCTGCGTCCTGGTCTGTGGTGTGCGCTGTATGCTGCTCTATCAGGGTGTATCATGCATTACTGTGGCTTGTATGGCTTTGCTCTTTGCTCTCTTCAGCCCTTCTGAGTTTCATGGTGTGCCCCTGGAGGACTCTGGGACATTTTAATTAAGACAGAAGCTAAAGTGGGTTAAAACTCTCTCTTTCTCTCTCTGCTTCTCCTTCTGTTTCTCTCCCTCTCTCCTCTCTTTCTTTTCCTCGCTGGCCAAATTAACGTTAGGTTTAATTGAAGTCCTGAAGCGCTGTTCCCTCTCGTGTCCCCATATGCACCATTGCGGTTGGCCTTGTCCTTAAGTAGTAAGAAAAAAAAACATACATTATTTTTGGGCTGTGCTTCTATTTGCATAATTATGATCCGATAAACATTCTGATTAAAGATGCGCTACGTAACTTTACTGCTGGAAGGTCTGCCACTTGCTTGTGTCCGTGAAAATGTTTATGTTTCGCCTGGGATTTGTGAAGTTTTGTGAAAGATGTTCCAAAATTGCTTTCAGAATTATGATTATTTTTCATTTTTACTGTACTTTTTTCTTAGTAAGCCACTGTCTTGCCCCTGTAAAAGCTGCTCTTGAGGTCAAAATAAGTCAACCGTGTCTGCATGTCAAGCGTTTTATTATAATGAGGAAGTGTGTGGTTAGCATTCTAGTTGTTGTTAGCATTATTATTATTCTGAAAGCTGTGAAAAGCGCTTATAAACCTAATGTGGTGAATAGTTAGGATGGTCTGAATGCGTAAAAGTAATTATTTGGACCCTTGCAAACCGTTTAAAATGAAGTAATTCTATATTTTTAAGTCTTTAAGTACATATTTATCAGCAGTACTTGTCATTGAATACATTATTATCCAAGTAAATGTGCATATTATGTAAGAGAAAACATCACGCCCAGGTCTGACACAGCACTGTCTGTAGCAGTCACTTCAAATCACTCAAACACGATGAGAACCGACACAGACGTTTCACTTTGGGCTCGTCGTCGCGTATTTGAACTTGTCTACGGCACAAAACGTCCACAGATGTCCCGGTGTTGTACGGGACGGAGACATAGACAGAGGGCGGATCTGCCTTTATAATGGAGGGGAGAGGCTGTGGGCAAAGGGAGCGCTCTCGTGTCCTTTTAGTTATGTAACCTGCCCCTGTGGACGAAGGACAAAAGGGAACAGAGGAGGTAAGCAAAAAAGTGACATTAGCGCTACAGCCAATGGACACAGAGACACGGGAAACATTTAACACGATTTTAGTAGATCTTTCTTTAAAATGTACAAACTGTATTTTTATAGTTTACTCAAATGTATGTTTTGGACCAATATTTATTTGTAGATAAAGTATTACATTTGACCTGTTTTGGATTGAGTCTCAGGTTAAAGGTGCACTATGTAACTTTTTGGTTGGGGGTTCGTCACCTGCTTGTTTCACAGTATGACGTGACAGAGGTGGGACCAAGTCATTGTTTTGCGAGTCTCGAGGAAATCTCATGTCTTTGACCTCAAGTCCGAGTCAAATCCCAAGTCAAATACAGGTAAGTCCAAGTCGAGTCTCGAGTCACTGGCCCATAAGTCCAAGTCAAGTCCAAGTCGTCTGCTTTGAGCTTCAAGTCATTTCAAGTCTTTAAACCTTTTGCAGTTTATATGACTTTTCAAATAAACTGTACTTAAAAAGTCACAGTATACTTATATATTAATATTTATATAAGAGTTGTAGAAATGCATTTTTTTCCTTTTTAAATGTCTTGTCAAGATGTTAGTGTGAATCATTAGTCAGAATAGAAAGAATTCAGAAATTCAAAGTGCTAAATAACAGTTATTTTGTCATAAAGATCTCTGTAGTTTCCTGTTTTGCTGTATTGTACTATATATTACTGTATAAGACTGTGTATTACTGTAGTACATTACACAGTACTGCATTTGTCAACTGTAAAGAGAAAAGTATTTTCTAAAAACATATATATATTTTTAGGAGAAGCATCAAGTCTTCTCAAATCACGGGCCTAAAGTCCAAGTGAAGTCCCAAGTCACTGACCTTCAAGTTCAAGTCTTAGTCCATTTTATCAAGTGAAGTCTCAAGTCCTAAAAATAGTGACTCAAGTCTGACTTAGGTCTAAGTCAAGACTTGCAAGTCCCCACCTCTGTGACATGAGACAGCTCTACTTTACATTTATTCAATTACAGGTGGTTATAGAGCTGAAAAATACCTAGAAAAACAAGCATTCTGACTGTGAGCAGGGTTGCCTCTCCACAGATCTGACCTGTAGCTTGATCAGGTTTGGTCTCCATGATGATAGAAAGGATTAATACCATACTATGAAAGCAATTAACAATTTAAAACAAAAATCTTATCTTTTGAACACAGAAAAATACTCAAATTGCCTCTATAAACAGCAAGCTGGAATACATGAATTAAAAGCTCTGGCCCATCATTGCGACTCACATTCAAAACACAAACAACCTGACCTGTGTGTTTCTGTCTCTACGCAGGACAAGGGTACAATGACATCATCAGAACGGACCTGGAGTTTGAGTGACAGCTGCGTTGAAGGGGGCGGGACTTAGCTTTGACAACAATACAACCTGGATGTCATGAAAGGCACAGCTTTGATGGTTCCCCCTGAGTTGTCTTTGCCAAATGTCCAACCTTACATAGAAGTGTGAGAACCGTGTATTGTGTACTATGTATGTATGTACTGTATGTATTTTATCATAGTACACAACAGGACTTTTAGTTGCAGTTATACATGTAGCAACGAATAGAACTTCTAATATATGCATCATGAATTTTGGACTTCTGGTCATTGGCAATACATACTGGGAAGGGTCCTCCGAAAAAGTGAGCATCAAACCGCCATGTTTGATTTCTCAGTGGGATGTGTCTATTGTCAAAGCTGATCTTTTCAAGTCTTTTGAACCATATCGCTTTTGTTTCTGGTTCTGATATTGTCATATTTTAGTTATGGGATTCAGGCATCGTAATTCTGTGGTTGTTGAATGTCCTAACAGCGAAAAACAACTTGAGAACTGGGGTTCGGAAGTTTGCAAACTCCATAACTGCAAAATGGTAAATGGTCACATTTTTCTATAGCGCTTTTCCACCTTCAAGGCACTCAAAGCGCAAACTCCATAACTGCAAAAGGGAATCAGATCTGTGTGACTGCAAACCTCTGTTCAAACTGTTTCCCTTCCCAGTGAAAATCAAAAATAGTGAAAGAACATTTTGTATGTGGAGTGCCAACAAAGCGGGATCCCGATCCCTCGATCAACCTTGGTTACAAATTTAAAAAGTCAACGCCAAAGCGAAAGGCACCAGCTGTTCGACAAGAAACACCTTCCACTGCAAAGCGACCAAGACGTGATGTTGCTGTAAAACCACAAGAACAAGAAAGTGCGAGCTCAGCCTGTTTGTCTTCTGCACCTCTCATTTAACAAACGGAATCCTGCTTTGATGGCACTCAACATACAAAATGTTCGCTGCAAACTCTGAATGATTTCTTAGGCAGCCAAAGGTTCGCTTTTTCATCCCTCCTGTGTATCAATACTGCCCATTGCCTTTCACTGTTTTTTTATTCCACTGGGATGGGAAACAGTTTGAACGGAGGTTTGCAGTCAGACAGATCTGATTCCCTTTTGCCTATATGGGGTTCACAAACTTCCGAAGTCCGTATCTCAAGCTGTTTTCCGCTGTTAGGAAATCCAACAATGAGACAATTACGATGTCTGAATCCCATAATTTTGACAATAGACACATCCCACTGGGAAATCAAACATGGTGGTTTGATGCTCACTTTTTTGGAAAATCCTTCCCAGTATGCATTGCACGATTACTGGAAGTCCAAAATTTGTGCATGGATGCATATATACTATAATAGCCAGTTGTATTTCAAAAACACCAAAAATAGTTAACTTTAGTTATACTAACAATTTCTGGCTGTTTTCCACTGCCCTTCAGCTTCAGACAATAAATTCTGTGGAGAGAATCCTAAACAATCATTCAAATGTGTCTAAAGCCACACTATGTAACTTTTCTAGAGGAGAGTTATTGCTGGATTGTTCCACGGTATGGCATTAAACTCGTCTATCTCCATGGAGACAAGCACCAGGACAAGTTGCAGGTCAGATCTTGTGAGGCGACCATGCTCACAGTGTTTTTCAAGGTAGTGAGCGATAAAAAAATCAAGGTAGATATGCTTAATGCCATACTGTGGAACATTTCGGGCAAAGCAATAACATCTCCGTGGGAACAAGCATGCGGCGGACTTCTCAGAAAAAGTTACATAGTGCAACTTTAATGAAGATAAACAATATAGTATGTCTAAGCTTATTCCCCAAACCTTTTAAAATGGCACTCTCTGTATTTGAATAAAAGCACCAATGAAACGTTCAGAAACTCCGGGCGACACCACGCTGAGTTAAAGGGACGTGCTGCATCAGAGGGAATGGTACTGTACAGTGCAAGCCCAGAGCTCGCTGACATCTTTAATATGAACTGACCCACAACGAGAAACAGGTTTTACACATGACAGAAGAGGGGTGACCATGTCTGTGCTTTCAGTATCTGTAGAAAAGAACAGTTTACTCAAACACTCATGTACAGGAGACAGCGGGTGGGATGGTCCATGGTTTTCCTGAGTTTATGAATGAGTCTCCAGAGAACCTCAGAGCATGTCATGAAAACAGAGGTGGGTACTACAGTCAGAAATGTACTAAAGTGATAGTACTGTTACTTCATTCTCTATAAACGGACAATGCAGAAAATAATGTGCATGCTTTAGGTACACAGTTTTTAATATGCATTGTAATTTTCTGACATCAGAGATATTGTTACTGATAAACTTGACTAACATGAGAATTTTTACAGTAAAAACTACTGTTACTTAGATTTAAAAGTGCATTGTGTAACTTTTCTGTGGAGGGTCCATCAAATGCTTTTCTCCATGCAGATGTTATTGCTTCGTCTGGAATGTCAGGTCAGATCTGCAAAGAAGTGATCTCACTCACAGTTAGAATGCCTCCTTTTCTAGGTATTTTTGAGCTATAAAACCACTATAATTGAAAAAATGTAAAGTAGAACTGTTGTAATGTAATACTGTGGAACATTCCAGGCAAAACAATGACATTTCCATAGAAACAAGCTGGTGACGGACCCCTGATCAAAAAGTTACACCGTGTACGTTTAACATATATCAAGGATAGGTATTTATGTGTGACCCACTTGTACCCAAGTCTGCTTCTGAACATGCTCCAAACCAAATGTGTAGAATAAAAGGCAAAGCTTTTCAGGAGTCCGACAGCATGAAGACAGCATTATGACAGATGGCATCACAGTATCCTCTTTTGAAATAAAAAAATCAAAACTTGTTCACATTTTTCTCAGTAGACAATATCACACAGTGATAATGAAGAGAAGGAGAAATCTACAGCCACATTAGCTTCGTGCAAAAACCACATACACTGGCACGCCAGAGAGGCAAGAGATCAAAGCAAGACGACGCATACAAAAATATAGAAAATCTCCAACACTGCGTTCACAGGAAAGTCTTTCACATCACGTGCCGCCAAACTGCACTAAAGACCACTTCAGGGACATTCTGTGTTTGTCTGCGTCACCATGGCTGCTGCGAGAGTGGTTTAAACATCCGCCAGTCAATAATCAGTGGTTCTGAATAATGTCAACATGTCAGTGATAGAAAACTAGTACAGTAAAAGCATACCCTTTTCCATTGTTCAATTTATGACAAATCTTTTTGAATTTCATATTTAAAATACATACTATACCCTGTCACTTTAAGACATTCCAGCATTAGCTCATAATTAGAAGTGACAGGTGATTTGGCATACAGCAAGCCATGCCAACAGGATGCACGTTTGTCTTGCAGGAGTCGGACGGGGAGAGGCTGCAGGCTCCAGGATGCTTTGTCACCTGCTCCTCTCCCGGGGCACACTGGGACATGATACAAATCGTGCTTAAGACTGAGTCAGCCCATCATTTGCACTTGCAAAACACATGCAGAGAGAGTCAGAGTTTACAGTTCAGTCCTTCAGTCGGCCTCCAGGGGGCGCCTCACTTTGGGAGTCTTTGAGAATAGGCACAAAAACCTATCATTGCCGTACTAAGACTACGAGCAAGTCACTGGACTTGAAAGGGGCCAGTGTTCTTGTTTCACATTGATAAAAAAGATTGTTTGAACGCTTTGAAGAAAAATATGACTGACGTCAGTATGGACAAAGCAGGTACCAATCAGGAAGTGGAAATGTTCCAAGTAAGGCAAAGACGGATGAGTTACGTTCACTCTGAAGTTAAACATGCACAATGTTCAAATGTCTCTACACCTCTTTGTTTGAGTCACAGACCAGAGCTGGACTCTCATTGGCTGTTTGGGTTTCCCACTCGCTCCTCTTCCTCCTCCTCTTCCTCCTCGTCTAAAGACACCACCCCGGAGGAGGCCACATCTGACACCCTTCGGCGCAGGGCGTACTCAGCGGGACTGTCCCCTACTCTGTCCCCCTCTGTCTCTGTGGGACACACTGTGTTGTCATAGTCTTTACAGGGGCTGTCGTCGTCTTCTCCAGGAGACAGGTACGTCTCTGAGTAGGACACAGAGAAAGGAGAGTCCTGTCCCCCTCGTGGTCTCAGGCTCCGCCCCCCTCCGCAGGTGTGCCCCGCCCTCTGCAGACGGGACAGGAGCTCCTCGCCCCCCTGTAGCGCGGACAGGATCTTAGCGGCCAGTTCGGCTGCGTTGCTGTGGGAGTTGTTTCCGCGGTTGCTCCCCAGGTCTCGGAGCAGCGGGTGGTGCTCGTCCAGACTGCAGAGGCTGGAGCACAGAGTGTCTGGAGAGCCCGCTGTGGGGGAGGGCTCCGCACTGCCCCCCTCTCCCCCGGCCCCCTCACAGCATGGGCCCCTCACGGCCAGCTGCTGACAGATCTGACTGTGGATCAGGTCCTTCAGGTACGGAGGGTACGAGGGCACGTCTGCAACACACACAACAAGGATGTTATAATACCATTTATTGAAAATTTTGTCCAGTTTAATTTCACTGTAAAGCAGAGAGCTAATACAGCACATACAAGTGTGATAATACAAGATTCATAGGCTCATGGAAATCAGATATTGTAGCTGTAATGTGCAAAATGAAATTATGAAACAATATTCTGACACTTTGATGTGGCCCTTTTAAACATGGCTCTCTCTCTGTGTTTTATGTGATCCGTTTAGAGTCGTTTAGCAGGAGACTGTGGAGCCTCGGCCTGTGTGGAGGCAGCTAAATGGACTGGACTGAATATTAGCTGTGTCAGTGCAATCAAGATGAAAGCTCTCTGTACAAACACCACACACACGCCACGCTCTGCAGCTTTGTGGGGACATTACACAGACTCACATTCAGATTCTGGAGCTTTACTACCGCATACAAATACTACATACTTACTACTCTAACCTTAACTTAAAGATGCATTGTGTAACTTTTCGGTTGGGGGTCCAACACCTGCTTTTTCCTATCTATATGTCAGTATGACTTTGAACAGCTCTACTTTATATTTATTCAATTATAGCTCAAAAACACCTAAAAAAAACCAGACATGCTGACTGAGTGGGGTTGCCTCTCCAGAGATCTGACCTGTAACTTGGTTTTGTTTGGTCTCCATGAAGATATAAAGGTTTAGTACCATAAACATTCCAGACAAAGCAATAACATCTCCATGGGGTAAAGCTTTTGATGGACCCTGCACCAGAAAAGTTAGACAGGGCACCTGAACTTTAAAATACTGTTGGATATAGGCTTAATATGATATGCATTTTGACTAATATCACAATTACAATTCGATTTGGAAGTTAATTATAAGCTAATCACGTCCAGGAGCATTTGAGAGATTACATAATAAAACCTGAAGGAGACCGCAATCTGGATTTTTTTTTTTTTTCCCCATGCAGAGATCCTTACACCTAAATAATTGCCTCATTTGCAATTTACAAATTACAGCCCTTCAAATTGCTTTCAAGCTTCAGTTGTGATTCTTTAGGTACTTCTAATCTAAAACATGCTGTTGATGTTGTAAATCTGACTGAGACCTGTTATGTAAGGAAAACGGTGAAGACGTTTTTGTGGCTTAAAGATGTAAAAATCTGAAACCTTGTCTAAACGCAGAATAAAAAGTGAAGACGCAGCATCACTTTTGTGTCTTCTGTTCATACCGTCATCATATAAACGTAGCCTGAAGTGGTTTAAAGGCGTACAATGTAATTTTCTAGTAGGGGGTCTGCCACAAGCTTGTTTCCATGGAGATAATATTGCTTTGCCTAAAAGGTTCCACAGTTTGGTATTACTGGTGTTTTACTGCTCAAAAATACTACAAAAAACACACATTCCTATAGTGAGTGACTGAGCCTCTTCACAGATCTGACCTGTAACCTGACCTGCAGGTATTGTGGGCTTCTTTATATGGAAATAGATGTGTTTAATGCCATACTGTGGGGCATTGTAGACAAAGCCATAACATTTTCTTGCTTCCATGCCCTATATTACGCAAAATTGACTCTTCTGAGCTTTAAGCCAGGATACAACGCTGTGTCCTTCCCCAAAATCATACCTGGAGTTGTGTTTTGTTTCATTCACATGTGTCGGAATAACTCTTTGTTATTAATGTGTCTACACCTCCAAAGCTCAAAACGCTCTGTTCCAGCTTATGATGTCATGAAGCAGTAGTTTTCAAGATAAATTTGACCTTTAGTTCCGTAGGGATTGTCAGTTCAAGGGCTGAAATCATCCAAATGATTCTGATGAAGGTGTACGGAGCACTTCCTGTATCACCACACAACATCACAAGGTGGGAATATTAGAGCTCAGCCTAAATATGCAGGGTTTGTGTGTTTAACATGTGTGAATGAAACAAAACACAACTCCAGGTCTGTTTGCGGTGAGGAAACATTAGAACATTGATCTGAAAATAGTGTAATACGGACCCTTTAAGTCCCCACAAGACTTGGTAAACATGCACACACACACACACATACGCGCGCTCGGGCCTCACAGCGCATTGATAACGTGCTCACACCCTCCACGCAGGCCCTGTCTGGCTCTGCAAAGGAAATCATATTAAACTTGCAGGAGGGATATCAAATTGCGCTGAGGAACAAAAAATGTCGACAGAGGATGAAAACTAGGGCACTGGGACAATGGGAGCTCCACAGAGAGAAGAGGAGGAGGAGGAGGAGTGAAAGAACGATGGAGGAGTGGACCAGACAAACAGGATGTAGCTGCTGCAGTGTTGTGGTTTTGGAAAGACTTGAACTGTTGACCCACTATTTTCATGAAGGAAATGAAACACAATAAGATGCAAGCCACTGTGTAAGGTTGCTGTTTCTATATTTGGTGAACTGCGATTTAAAGCAGACCTATTATGCAAAATTGACTTTCCGAGACTTCCCGGAGCATTTAACCATGTTGCAGTTGCTTCCTCTTCTCATTTACCCTCTCCAAGTTGTATCTGGAGTGATTCAAGCATGTCTGACCAATCTTTAATTGCTTATTTTCAAGACGCCATATTGCAGATCAACACCAGTTTTATTTTCTTAATTGGTGATACACGTTGGATTTGGCAGCGTCATGCAGTCATTCTGGCACAAATGAACAAAAATCCACGAGTCGCTTGTGTGATCTGCAGCTTTGTTGTGATTGTGTTTACGGAGATGTCAGCTCTTATTGGGCACCGTGGTTTTCTAACGCAGAAGGACCTGTTTTTTTAATGCTATAATTTTTTTTTTATTGAGAAATGCATACACACTTTACATTAATCATAGTTGATAAGACTTATTAAAACAATAAATCCCACAAGGGCATTAATAGATAGGTAAAGGTGCACAATGTAACGTCTCTGTTGGAGGGCCTGCTACCTGCTCGTCTCCATGGAGATTCAATAACTTTGCCTAGAATATTCTACAGTAGGCCTGTAACGATAATCTTTAAAGCAGTTAATAATAGGATAACTTTTAACAAGCTTGATAACTTTTCGGGTCGTGATCATTTTTGTTTGCATGCTTGTTTGTTTGCTCTCTACCAAAAAGAATGAATGTCAAAAGGCTTCTATGGCACTGTACTGACCCCCCTTGTTTCCTTAGCATAACGATGCTTGAACGAACGTGTCAGCATTGACTATAGATGGATTATTAATGGATTATTAGAGTGGATGCGTGCTCAGGCTGAGTGCAGAAAGCGCCGCTGTCTGTGCGGTTAACATGAAACCGCAACACTCGTGCTGCCGTCAGAGCACCGAAGCCAAATCAACACTAGTGAGTGGGATACGTCTCAGTGGCCCACATGCGTCAAAAGCAGGTGAGCGCGCAAACGACGAGAAGAAATGGCTCATACCCCAGCAGACGACATAAACTCAAATGCGATCAACACAACTAGCCCCCGAGAGAACCTGAAATCCACTGAAATCCCACAAGACACCGACACTATACCAGACGGGACAGCGGCTCCCTCGTAGTGAAACAGGATCATGTGTTGCGGGTTAATACGAACACTTCAAGACCAAAATGCCGAGGCTCACAGCAGCAGCCACAGAGAGAAGAGCCACAATATTCCAATGTAATCAATGAGTAAAATAACTTTTGAGGGCAATTTTGTTACAGAGACTTAAAAATCCATTTTATTTATTGTTTTGGTTGTGTTTGGTTCAACATCAGTTTATTCAAGTGCATTTTTTGTTGCTGTAAACCAAACTACATTAAGCTAGTCTTAGGCTGCGTTCAGACTACAGCCTGAAGTGACCCAAATCCGATTTTTTGGCCCCTATGTGACCTGTATCTGATCTTTTAATGACAATCTGAACGACACAGGTCCAGTTTTTTCAAATGCGACCCAGGACACTTGGATATGTGGTCCTGAAACTGATACATATCTGATCTTTTGACATGCGACTTCAGTGTGAACAGCCAAAGCGCATTCATCCAACCTACACGTTATCAACAAGACACAAACGTCACTATTCTGCGCTGAAGTGGGCGAAAATTGTTAATGAACTCCGTGTCACTGAAGCAAAGCACATCGCCACTCACCACTCTTGGCTACGTCTCCGCACCCACACCTTCCTTTCAACGGACGGATCTCTTCCTTAAAACAAGTAAGTTGTACATGCTCTGGCTCCAGTACGAGAGGAACTTTAAAATCACCAGGTGCTCAGTGCTCTCGTCCATGTTTGGACCACTTCCGTAAACACAGAGCACACTCGCTGTGTCGCTCGTGTCCTCCAGTGCGCATGAGGGACACTTTTGGGTCGTTTAATGTTCACACTGGAGATCACATACAAGTTGCATTTATTTGGAAATGTAAACGACCTCGCAAAAACATCGGATTTCACAAAAAAATTGGAATTGAGCATTAAGCCCTACTGTCTGAAAGTAGCCTTAGTCTACTTCATTTAGGCCTATTGTTTTTAGTTGTCTTGCAGTTCCTGTGTTAAATGTTATTTAGAAAGTAAAGTTTATTGATTTTTGAGAGGGTGTATTTGCATTTTTATTCCATTGTCATTATATTAGCTGAAATTGGTCTCAAAATGTCAATATTTTGTAATAATCATATATCAAAATCATTTCTTGGTCAATTAAGTAATGGTAAATGGCTTTTCTACCTTCAAGGCACTCAAGGACAAGGAACCACCCACTCACCCATTCACACACACATCCATACACCCGTGTACACAGATAATGGAGCGAGGTGCGTTAAGTGTCTTGTCCAAGGACACAACAACAGCATTCATCTGTGGGAGCTGGAATCACAACGATTCACGATTTGACCGCTCAACCAATGATGTTTTTGTCAGGATTCGAACCCGCTAACCTTGGTGTCAGTGGACAATCGCTCTACCAACTGAGCTAAAAAGTGAATGTAATGGCATTTGATGACACCAGGCAAAGAAAAAACATCTGTATTGAATAAATTTGAGATTAATCTAATTCCAGGCAAAGCAATAACCTTTCTGTCAAGACCACAAAAGCGTCTTTATTTGGCTCTACTACCTTAATACAGATTTTTGTAGTGCAGTGGCTAAATCCTCCATAGAAAAGCCAGGTTCTATTATTGGTCGGTGTGAAGCTGCTGTTTACAAACACATGAGGACACATTGCTTGTACCTGTGCTCTGTGTGGACGGCTCGTTGACAGGCAGAAAATCTTCGTCGTATGAGTCATCGTTGGACTCGTCTCCGTCCACAGAAGACCAGGCCCTGAGCTTAGCCTCTGCGATGGCAAACTGCTCCGCCACACCTGCGCCAACACAAACAAATCAACATTATGTACAAATGAACAGAGACACAGGAAGCGGTGACTACGGGGTCGCCATAGAAACAAGATGCGGAGCTAAAGATGGGCTGTGGTCGGGTTGCCAGGTCATGATGCTATTTTTCAGGGTGGTGGCTCACTGCTTGTTTATGATGCTAAGTGCACAGAGGTGAATCAAAACTGGATGTTCACATTTCAGTCGATATTGTGAAAAATGCATTGATTCATGAATTGTACTCTTACTACCAACGTATGGCATTTAGCTCATCTACCTCCACAGAGACAAGCAGGTAATGCCAACAGGTCATGTTACAAAGCAGATCTATAGAGAGGCAACCCTGCTCATACATTGTAAAATCTAATAAGTAGACCTTACTTGAAAAAATCTAAGAAACCAATTACCTTGAAAAATCTGACTGAAGTAGACGGTGAATCTAAAGCTGAGTTTACAAGTAATTCTTCAGTGTAGTGAAGGTGTAGTGTAGTGTAAATCCCTCTTTCATCTAACTAGGCATAGAAAGTTAAATGTACTTCAGTTTTCATTCATAGAACTCATGTTGTGAAACTGTGAAAAAAGTCAGTCAGATCCTCAAATCTGAAATATCTAGTAACCTTTATTTTAAGAGTAAGTTCATCTTACTTGATAAAACCGATTGCCTTGAATTGAACAAGTAAATGTTACTTATACACCATTTAGAATAAGAACAAGTTCTATTCTACGTTAATGACATTTTGATCTGTATCAGTTACACAAGGATTTGAATATTTATTAATCTTTGGAAAAAACGTAGCAAAATTTTTGTTCATCTTAAGTTCAAAACACATCGTAACATGTGTAACAATACATTAATATAACTCGGTCATTCCACGTCAACTCAACCAAGACCCCAAACTTAGGGCTCAAAAAATGCTGGAAGAAACAAAACAAGTGAACAGATGTAATCTGGCACAGACTGAATGAACAGAGGGAGGATATAGAGACGACCCTAGGATGATCAGGGAATGAGTGGCAGCTGTAGAAAAAACAGGGAGGCAGCAAAAGACGGACCGGAACAGACTGGGAAATGGAGCTGGACTTTTGGCATTCAAGTTGACCTTAGTCTAATTGACAAGAAATGTGCTTTTTTCACCCTGAAAGTAAGTGTTACTTTACCACAATAATTAAGATCCACAAATTCATAGTTGTTAGTAAAATAAACAAGCTGAATGCAAGTTAACTATAGTGTTAGATTTTAGTGTAGTAACTTTGAGATATAAGTAGAACTGCTTAATCAGTAGCTCCAGTGTCCTAAAACAAATTGGAAAAGCAAAAGATAAAGTGGTGACACCATTAGGGTGACCCGACATCCCTATTTACCTGGGACAGTCCCAGTTTTGAGCCCTGTGTCTCCTCTTCCAGCAGATTTATACAAAACCAGTGATGTGTCCCAGTTTTGTACAAGAAATGTCCCAAGTGTCCCTATTTTTGACCAGTTTCTTCAAAACCAAGACTAAACCTGGATTACATTAGGTCTAAACCAGGACTAAAACAGGACAATCACAATTTTTGAATAAACTGTTCCCTGCCAACACTAAAAAGGAGCATAAATTGTAATTTGTTTAGGTAAAACACAAAAAATGATCAAAAACATAAAGAAAATGTGACTATACTCATTTACATGTTAGTTGTGAAATGGTCTCTGCAAAACAATTTTCCTTAATTTTGCACTCGTTTCACAATTTTATTTTTAGTAACCACCAAATAACTGGGGATGTCCCACTTTAATACAAGAAATGTTCCCGGTGTCCCTATTTTTGACCAATTTGATCTAAAGCAGGACTAAACCAGGACTAAACCAGGACTAATTCAGGACTAATTCAGGACTAAAACAGGGCTAAACCAGGACTAAACCAGGGCTAAACCAGGACTAAAACAGGACTAAAACAAGACTAAAACAGGACTAAAACAGGACTAAAACAGACTAAAACAAGACTAAAACAGGACTAAAACAAGACTAAAACAAGACTAAAACAGGACTAAAACAGGACTAAAACAGGACTAAAACAGGACTAAAACAGGACTAAAACAAGACTAAAACAAGACTAAAACAAGGACTAAAACAGGACTAAAACAAGACTAAAACAAGACTAAAACAAGACTAAAACAAGACTATTATATTTTTGACTAATCTGATCCATGCCAATAAAGGGGAGCAAAAATTGACAATAGTTTTGCCAAAATACAGAAATCCGTGTTTGCAAATGACCATAAAGAAAGAAAGGAAAAAAAAAAGCAGCATCAGAAGTCCCTCAGATTACTGTTTTATTTATACCAACTGTCCCAACCTGAGTGTGTCCCAGTTTAGAATTTTGAAAATCTTGTCACCGCAGAAAACATTACAACTAGAATTAACATTAGAAAGCCTCATTTGCCTTATATGTGCTACAGTATGATGGGCTCATTTATAGTTAGGCATTTATGCTAATAGGCTGTAGTGACATTACCCTGGGTGCTCATCTACATTGATATGGGTGACACGTGTGACATTACCATCTGTGCATTCTAACATATGACAAACACTGGGAGCTGCTTCACAACGGCCACCTATGTGTGTGAAGGTCAGAGGTGCTGTGTAAAACCCTTGTAACATACCACTGAATTCATTAAACATCCACATGTGAAAGGAGCACGTGTGGGGGGGTATTTATTACAAGGTGGAGGCTAAAACCTACACATAAACACAACATGGGGCCTGTCTCCTGTATGGACAAAGATCAGACCCCCCTGATTTAAATCCATTATTACTTAACATGATTCACAGTTCACATAGTAGTAGGAGTAGAAGTAGTTCTTTAAAAGGTGGACTGCACAACCTTTCTGGAGGAGGATTCGCCACCTTGTCAAGAATGTTTCACGGCACCTTTCTATTTCAAGGGAGACAATTACAGGTCAGATTGTTGTCATTTTTGAAGAACAGAAACACCTTTAAGTATACATCCTAGATAGATGTGTTTAATGTCATTCCGCGGAACATTCTAAACAAAGCAACAACATGTTCACGGAGACAAGCAGATGGTGGACCCTCCACCAGAAAGGTTGTGCAGTCCACCTTTAACAAACTACTACTACTACTACTAACCTTAACCCTAGTGTCAAAGTACTTGAGACTGATCTTGGTCTCGAGACCTGCCACGAGACCATTTTTTTGAAGCCTCTGTCTTATCTTGCACTCAATCGCGCTTGGATTCGGTCTTGTCTCGGTCTTGAAGGCGCTTGGACTCGATCTTATCTTGGTCTCGATCTGACACTCGACGAGTGATAAAATAGAGACAGATTTATAAAAACATTGATATATATGACGAAATATATATCAATTGTAAAATAACTTAAAATATGAATAAATGTTTATTTATATAAAAAATTACAAAGATGATCTCGATTTGGTTTCGATAGACTGTGGTTTCGGTCTTGTCTCGGTCTCAACTCTCAGCTCTTTGTCTTGTCTCAGTCTCGGCCTTTAAAAGTCTCGGCCTTGTTTCAGTCTCGACCCTCAGAGGTTTTGGTTTTGTCTCAGTCTCAGCCTTAAAAAGTGTCGGTTTTGTCTTGGCCTCGACCCTCAGAGGTCTTGGGCTTGTCTCAGTCTCAGCCTTTAAAAGTCTCGGTTTTGTCTCGGTCTCAACCCTCAGAGGTCTTGGGCTTGTCTCAGTCTCGACCTTTAAAAGTCTCAGTCTTGTCTCGATCTCGACCCTCTGAGGTCTTGGTCTTGTCCTGGTCTCTGAACCCTGTGATCTCAGACTGGTCTTGGTCTCGATTAGTGCAGTCTTGACTACAACACTGCTTAACCGAACCCTTAACAAATTTTACCCATATCTAAACTTTGAATCACGTTAAGTAATAATGGATTTACGTCAGGGGAGTCTGATCTTTGTCCATGGACTTTCCAAGAGAAAGTCGAACAATGCACCTTTAAGGATAGGGTAGGGTGACCAGATTTTAAAAATTCCAAACTGGAACACACCCGGGTTGGGATGGTTGTTATAAATAAAATTGTGTAAAGACTACCTACTTGTCTCTGTGATGATGTTATTGTTTTGTAGGGAATAGTCCACAGTACGGCATTAAACATATTCCTTCAATTAAAGCTGTTTTTATTGGTCAGAATTACCTAGAAATGCATTGTTAACTTGGCGGTGTGCTTGTTTTCTTGGAAATAGACACGTCCATATCATCGTACATTCCATGCAAAGTAATAACATCTCCATGGAGACAAGAAGTAAGTGGACCCTCGTCCAAAAAAGTGACAGAGTGCACCTTTAAAATAACCCTTTACTAATAGGCTACTTCAAAATAATTGTAATTTCAGTTTTTCTCGCATACTGAAGCAGCCCTAGCACTAGTATAAGCTTTCTGTGCAGATCCCCCACCATTCTCAGTCTGTTTTGTATTCCAGCTGTTCATTCACTGCTATCGAGCCTTTTGCATTGACTGACACCGCGCCCTGACATCTTTAGGTCCTCTACTGCCTTGTTCCTCTTCTCTCTCTGTCCTCATTCTGATTTAAACCCTCCTCTCTCTTCTGCCTCCTCTCCAGTGCGGTGTGTCCCTGTAGTGTCTCATGTATGGCCCCAGAGAGAGCCATTGATCCTCTCATTCATCCTCCACTGCGGCTTTTGGACCTCGCACATTCTAACTCGAGTGTTTTGGAGATTCATAGCACGCGTAGCTCTTTAGGTGTGTTATAAAATATTAAAATCTCCTTGACTTCACAAACTGGCCTCACCTGCTGCGTCTGCGATGTGTAAGCGTCTGACATAATCATTATATTATGGTTATCTGTCAATATGTAATAAACTATAATGCTTTTTTTTCACCATTTTCAATATTAACTAACTTCAGTAGTTTAAAGGTGCACTATGTAACTTTTGGAGATGTTATTGCTTTGTGTGCAGGATTCCAAAGTGTGGCATTAAGCTTATCAATCTCTGTAAAAGATAAACAGGAGACA